ATCCGTCTATCGCTTCATCACCGAAATTATTGACTTTACTGAAAAAAAATGTAGTGCTTTTTTGTTTATTACTAAATTCCCTAACTTTTTTGTATAACAAAAATTATTGTAACTCTCACCGTTTTTCAATTTTTGTTGTTTATTTGATAAAAAGAGTCGTATAAAAGTTATTCGTCATTTCTCTACAATTTTAATATAAAACTTTTTTTTTATTAAATAAATCCTTTTAAAGTTATGAGTCGTCGTCTTTAGTGGTGATAAAAATTTGTTTATATTTGCCTTTTTCGATGGCTTCTAGTTTCTTTGAAACATAAGTTATCGAGAAATGGAAGACATAGGAGCATAGAATGATTAAAATTCTATTTTATGTATAAAAATCATTTTTTAGTGATAGGCGAGAACGTTTGTATGGAAAAAAGCATTGCCCGCCTCCACTCTTAACCTTTGCCTCTCGAACCGTTACTATGTCGCGTCGATCTAATCAACTAGCGACCGTAGAGATACGCGCTAGACGCTCGTTGACTGACACTGCAGCATAGGGTTACCATATCTCAGGATATGTCCTGAGATTTCAGGATTTTGCAAATCTTATGAAATCTCAGAATTTTTTGAATTTTCAATAAAATACAGCTTACGTTTTAAAGATCTCTTTAATAAAAAGTTAAACAAACTAAAAATAATCTTCCTTTAATAATATTTGTACAATTAAAATCTTATGTAACATATATATTATATATGTATATCTTAAAATCAATACCGCTGCCACCCCGTCCACCCCCGCGCTTCGAGTGCGATTTGCAACGCGTGAGCGACGTCCGCATCTCTTATCTATTAGACAAGTCCGTCTGTCTCTGGGGCCCAATTCTCGCGGCGTAGATATTATATCGTCTTCGAGATAATATCGAAAGTAGGGATATCTATTGAAAATATCTACTGATGGTAAAAAATGCTATTCTCGTGGATTTTCGATATTCCAATGATATTATATCTATCGTAGATATTCTTTCACTGACGAATGCGTTCCGTTTTTCTCGATTAAGTTAACATCATAGTCTATATAAAATAATAATAAATTAGAGCAGAATTTTACAAGCAAAAAAATGATATTTTATGAATTCCATTCATATTAAATATGAGTATACATTTTTTGAGTATAAGAAATCTCAACTTTACCTAAATTGTATGCGTATATAATTTCTACGTTAAGTATAATGAAACGTCAATATTATTTAAGATTCTCCCTTTTCAGGGAAGGCAAAGGGAACAATTCCCATAAAGCCTAGTCTTTAGTTATATTAATCTTCTTTTTTTTACATTCGAATGTCGGTGTGACGCATTCTAATGTTTCTTGGAGTGTTTGACACGAAATTTATGGAGTTGGCTTTTTCTCTAAGCTTCTGTGAGGTAGTCAACACTACAATAAACTTCTCGCGTCCACTTGACCGGAATACCGTATATTTTAAAGATTCCACTAATTCTTCAGTTGCGCAGACGGTTGTAACACCAAATCACACCAATTTTATTTCACAATATCCACTATGAACGAATTTTAGAATAATTAAAATAAGATGCCAACCGCACTCGCAGAAATCCCGCCAAAACTCCGTATCGTCAATAAGAAAATGGTGTCGATTCTGGCATGATTCTGTAAACCTAAACGTAAATTTGACAACAGTGTTTCCTTGTCATTCTCTATACAGAATGAAAAAGAGAGACTGATGTTAAATTTAGTTTTAAGTTTAGAGAATCACGCCAGAATCGACACCATTGTTTACCTACTTCTTTATTTACTAATTATTTATGAAGGCAGTTAACAACATCTTGAGGTAACAATAATTGCCAAAGACACACGACAACACAATAAATAATAGGTAAAAAAAGTGGAAATAACAAGATTGACATGCCAAGATCCATAGATATTTATATATCGAAGGCTCTTTACCAGTCGATGTATGTCTACTGATCATCCGTAGATAAATATCTATTGCGACATGGTGAGAATAGGGCAAAAAAGTTTTCCTTCGATAAAAGCCAGATCATTCGATATATATCGAAGGTGATATAATATCTATGCCGCGAGAATTGGGCCCCTGGTGCTTTTTCAGCGGCCAAACCGTAAGAGAAAGATAAAGAGAATATTTAAGTTATAAGTTAAGAATAGTCTGATAAGACTACAAACCGGATTTGAGTAACGTAGCACTTCCGGTTTTCGAGAAATCAGGTTTTGGTGAACATTTGGTTCACTGGTTTGCTAGTTGTATATAAACGATAATATTACGACTTTTTTTAAATTGTTAAGTACGTTTGAAAGATAATTCTCAAACTGTAAAAAATCTCAGGATTTTTCAATGGAAGTCAAGCCTTTTCTAGGGACTTTTGATTTTTTCATCTGGTAACCCTACTGCAGCAATTTAATTGATTATTGTGATGATACACGACGACACGCTATTAAGAGAGAAGGCTGTCAATGTTTTTTGCATAGAATGGTTCTCGACTGATTCCTCCTTGATTCTTATCACTAAAGAATTATATTCATACACAAAATATTATTTTACACATTCTATGCTCCAACGTTTTCGTTTAAAATATAATAACCATCTATAATAATAACCTATTCTTGTTGTTCATTCATTTCACATTTTAAAAATTGTGAGCGTCTACTTTGATGTCAAAATTCGGTAAAAATGGTTCACAAGTTAAATTATGGCACGCTAAATGTAATTTAACAATAGGTATTTAATATCTTTTGATATAAACCCAACAGTTTAATGCTCAAAATTGAAATATTTATTCAATTAATGATACTCTGATTCATCACACTAATCACACTAATATTATAAAGGCGAAAGTTTGTAAGTATGTGAGTGTGTATGTTTGTTACTTCTTCACGTCTAAACGGCTGGAGCGATTTTAATAAAATTTGGTATGGAGCTAGCTGACACCCTAGATTCACACATAGGCTACTTTAATCCCGAAAATGTTAGGTTCCAGAGGGATTTTCAAGAAACTAAGTTAACGCAGACGAAGTCGCGGGCGACCTCTAATTGTTTCTTTTGTGTTGTGTTGTGGGTACAGTTGGTTGACCTGAAGTGACCACTTGGCTACGGGGTCGTCATTATCTCAAGAATTGATAAGCAAAAAAATATTCATTTCAGATTTTTTTAATAATATTATAAATGTGAAAGTTTGTATCTTTGTAACTCAGTCACGAAAAAAAGGCTGAACGGATATGATTGAATTTTTACACACAGGTAGCTTATAACCTGGAAAGCGACATAGGATACTTTTTATACCGGAAAAGTTTTAGGTTCTTGAGGGATTTTCAAAACCTAAAGTCAATGCGGACAAAGTCGCAGGTGGCCGTTAGTTTTCCAAACCCCTTCGTCTGTGTAAATCTCTGCAAATTTCTGCCAACGTCAAAAAACTCCTATCGGTGGTGATGGCAAATTTTTGCCAAGAGTTGAGAAAAATATTAAAAAAAAATATATTTTTCGTTTTATTATATTAAGGAATGGTTTTTAATGTACACATCCAATATAAGTTTTTAGAGAAATTATCAGGATTGATTTAAGACATAAATGAAGCCTGGATGTACAGTAGAACTCCAATAATAAGAGAAAAATCCGCCGGTTTTTTTTATTTTATTTCCGACCGTAAAAAACAAAATGAAGGGGTAACACAGACAGGGTTTTGAGAGCCACGTGGCTTACACTTGAGGATATTTCTTTTAAGTGAAGCTCGACGCTATATCACGCACGCGCTAACTCCCGGATTATATCTTTGTGTAGTGTCGTTAATACATTCAAAGCGTGCCTATACATAACAACCTAGTCGCTTTGTCTTTCACTTGAAACATCATTCTCAAAGGGTTCCAGTCCGGGAGCAGTTTCAAAGGTTTCTTCTTTAGTTTCAATATTGCCACGTGTAATCCGAACAACCGTTTGTTCCATGGATATTATGGTATGGTTTTTATTTTTTTATTCATCGTTATAAACAGTAGTTACATCTTTTATATTTACAGCATTAGAAAAACCACAAAGGTTTGTAGCAATGCTAATTACACTTCAGGGACTAGCTTAAGTAGTTAATTAAACACAAAGTACTGTGTTTATAGGATGAAGATAATTATTTTAAGACCTTGGAATGCTAGGTGCATTCCAAGGTCTGAATTTTTTTCAATTTGTATTGGATATTCATCATTCTGTTGTGTATTTCAGTAAAATAACCAAATCAAAAACTCCATTTTCCAACTCTGGACAATATGGCGTCTTACTAGTGTGTGACGTCACACGACTGTTATTAAAACGTCAAACGATACAATGTAATGTCACTTTAACCGGAAGTTTACTTGCGTGTGACGTCATTTTAGGCTCCGCCAATCCCAAGCGTATTGGGTCACGTGAAAATAGATAAGAAAACTATTATCCTTTTCGTGGGTTTTTAGTAAAATTATGAATATTTTTTTTTGTAAAAATAGTAAACACCCCTGCCAATATTCATTCTAAACACAGATGCTAACAATTGGCACTTTATTTTTAAAACTGTCAAATACCCTATTGACTAAATCCGCGGGTAGTTCGTTGATCATACGCGGGACTAGGAAGGCAGTAGTTCTCCTACCGTACATGTTATTTGCTCGTTCGGTTGCCGTCGCGAAAAGCTAAATTATGTTAGTATAATCTTCTACAGCCGCTTGTTAACGACACTTAACAACTTGTTCGACATTTAAAGTAGACGTTTTAAGAGTCATTCAAATTCCGATGCCGTGATACAATCTACATTTGCGCCTGAGAAATACGATAAAATACGATATTGCAATTCATTTGAATACAATAGATTTTCGGATATTTTTTTTATCGCCACATAGACGTAAACCAGCTTACTTTCCTGATTCGCGTTCATTACCATCATCATTAGCTTAGTTGGTATTCTACAATTGTAACACAAAGTAATATCTAAACAGGTAGGTATTATTATAATTATCAAATTAAGTTAATTAATTATTACACTGCGGTAAATTGAATTCTACATACTCATTGTAAGTACTTCTGCTGGTTGCTTTGGTAGATACCGCTCGGCCACGGAGGTCATCAAACAACGCCACTCGTTCACAAAAGTCCAACAGTTAATTTCTCTCGACTCACCCCTGTCGCCGACGTACTCGTTGAAGTCGATCCTGCCGTCGCCGTCGCGGTCCTTTTCGCGCAGCGTCTGGTTCACCAGGTACGGGTGCATGGGCGCGTGCTCCTCGGGATTCGTGAATACCTGCCCATAAAACATGCTCAATCAATCACAATATTTCGATTAAACTGTTTAAAAAGCGACGTCTACGTAACAAAAGTATGATGACATTGTTTTGTTTTCTGATTGCAAGCTATGTTTATTTTTGTATCATTAATTTTATTGCACTCAATACCGACAGCTTTATATTCATTTGTTAAATAATGAGACACAAAAGACAATAAGATTAGAGACGACAGACCACCGATTTAATAACGTACATAAGTAAAAATAGCACCATTCACAAATCCATAATATTACCAAAGCCATAATTAAACATGCTGTAATATTATATGTAACATAGTGTGTGTTGATTTGTGTATCCAGTTTGGGCACACAAAAAATGTCGTTATTATTAGTCAGTTATAAAATTAAACTTGTTTGAAGACGATAAACATTATATATTTAGAATAGCCTAATGAGGCTAATTTATATTTTAAATACCAATAAAATAGATGACGCACAATAGAGAATTGACTCTACTTAGTAAAATTTTCTTTAGATTTAAACATCTTCAATTAGAAAATTACAAATATGACTCTACTTAAGTCAATTAAATCTGCACCGGTATTTAACATTTAATAATGTCTTTTGTAACTTGCCTCAAATTCAAAAAGGTCCAATGATCCATCTCCATTGACATCAGCTGCTTTAAACATTTGTTTCTCTTCTTGTAACAGCTAGAATACAATGAATACATTTTTAATATCGGTTGATTTGCTATCTGTGGCCCAAGCATGTATTTTGACATATCGTATTGCAATATCAAAGTTTCTATGAGAATGAAGCAGCGTCCTTACTGGACGTAAGAAACTGGCTCTTTTCATAATAAAATTGAGGATGACAATACAATTACAGAGTTGTCAAAATTTGTGCTTAGGCCTCTGTGTACGAAGTCGCCCTGTACATATAAGAAGTCATTATAGTGCTGTCAACTCTAAATATTTGTTTATTACCAGAGTTGATTTATAAATAACATTGCTGACTCATATTTATTAATTTACAACCTACAAACACTCTGTTTGATAGGACATTTACTGGTCACTCCAATGTCATCCAGTTTCTCCTTAAGAGTTTTCAAAGTTAAATTAATTAACAGATTATTTTATTACTCTTTATAACATGGCAATTTAACAACTTATCAACTTAATGACTTCATTCTTGCTGGATGATGGTATTGCAACTGCACTAATTATGTTTAAGATAACAACATATTTAACTCTCTAGATTAACTTAATGAAGATAAAAAATAAAATGTAACCACACAATTCTATAATACAGTTGAAAACAAAAATATAAAAAAAAGGAATTCGCACCCCTACCATTCCCGAATCTCCTGTGTCTTCAGGGTTTATTTCCTCCTCAGCATCAACACCAAATGCATCCTGAAGGTACTCTGGCCATGAGACCAGTCCATCACGGTTGTCATCTACTTCTGCCATGCGTTCCTCAGCTTCTTCACGAGATAAGTTACTGCCATGTGCAAATTGCAAATTACAAACATAAATAACAGGTTTTCATATTTTTATTGCTAAAGTATTATGTACTTACTTTCATGCACTTGAGCCCATAAAACTATGTGCATGCACCATAGTAGCAAGAGGTGTTATCAGTAAATAGTAAACAACACATTTTTATTAAATGTATAAATATTTTGTACTTAAAAGATGTTAACTTCCCCTTTAACTCACATAAATGAATTTAAGATCCACACTTTCAACTCTTTTCTGTCAATGTACTGGTCCCCATTGAGGTCCATCTTCGGCAGCAGAAGTGACAGCCGCTGCTTTGACTCCTCTGGACTGAGTTTGTCATATTCCTCTGCCTCTTTCACACTGCCTATAGTAAAATAGTATGTCAGCACCAATATACATGGAACGAGAACTACTAGAGCGTACCGGACGGACATAGCGCGCCGACCGGCCTATCGCATTTCTTATCAACGACTAGCTCGCAAGGCATTGTACTAGCACCGGCTGCCCGAGATCAACGTCACACCGATGCAAAAAGATTGTAAACAAAACCAGTCACCTAAAATGGCTTCATGGTCGAACTCCGAGTTGTGGCCGGCGTCGCTGTAGTGATCATAATCCCTTGAACGGTAGCTACCGTCCGATTCTCGTTCTAGATTATTATCCACGCCGTGACTGTGAACCGCAGCGGAAGCGCAATGCAACAACACGTTATGACTTAGTAAAAGAAAGAAAGTGAACAAATATCCAGACGCCATAGTAATTTTATTATTAAACTTCATTGAATTAACTTTGGTACTAATTTAAATAATGTATCAGACGAACTCCATTATTTCCAGTCATAAATTAATTCAGAAATAGTATTTACAAAATGAGAATGACAGATCAAATCAAGATGTCAAACTTCTTACAAATGTCAAATTGACTTTGCCAGTTAACGTTTAGGAAGTCCTTTGGACGTTACGTCCATGAAATCATCTTGTATTGTTTATCTCTACAAGATAATATGAGTTAAACTGTATCTGTATGTTAATTTTATACAAATAAAAGAATTATAATAGGGGTTTACCTATGAAATTGCTATTCTGCCGTACCTATTAGCTTATTCAAGTTCATATTTTTTCTTTTTTCGGTAATAAGAATTCTAAGTTCAATTTATTTTTAATTTTAAAATATTAAATTCTTATATGCAAATTAGTCATTTGTTAAATGGTCAGCGTTCTGTTTTCAGCGCATTTATACGTTATTCGTCATCATGGGTACGTTAATATTCGAGTGATTGAAGATTTGCAGGAAATCTCCAGGATCATGTATGACGGCGCGGCGCGGTGGAGGTGGAGGTGTTTAGAAAGTTCGACCAGTCTGGGAAGTTCATTGAAAGGGTGACCAAAATCTTGTTACCTGGAGTTCCTCCGTGATATGAAAGGCACGTTAAGCTGTTAGTAGCGGCATTTGCAGTCGTTAGCACCCACCAATCCTCACTGGGCTCGCATGGTGGGTCACGGCCAGTCCTTTTTTCACCAAACCGACATATTAAGTAGGCTTGGTTTTTAATATTTCTGGTGGTGGTATATCAAATTTTTCTTTGAACGCAAAATCAGTGATATCTACAGATAAATTGTGTTCTTTATAAATTCTCCTCTATAAGAACTCATCTTTTCAAGCTTTCACGGATAGTAATTTCTACAATTGTAACGTAAATCTTACACAGCCGCATTATAATGTCAAGAATTACCGGACATTTGACAATTATATCGCACGATACGGACAATTGACTATTCTAACAAAATGCCTGTAATTCTTAAGACGTATCTCGGAGACATAAGTCGAGTTACTGAAATTGGACCCTGATCTCCCTAGTGAGGTTAATAATTACACATGGGTATAGTCCACTGATTCAAAGCAAGCGTGATGATAAAAAAAAACATTGTTTTAGCCACAATATTTTAATAGCTTTTCCGCAGCCATGAGAATGAGTTTGATCCGTCGACTGGCCACGTGGTTCGGGTACGAGGCGAGGAAGGCCAGCAGGTGTCTGCGCACCTCGCCGACTACCAAGGGCAGGTGGGGACGCGTCGACGGCTCCGACGGGTTCAAGCTGATTATGGCTTCTTCTAAATACCTGGGAACATGTAATAAATCGTCATCAGTTGTGTGCAGACAGCCACAGCACAGGTCAAGTTACTAAAAACTCAAAATTTATTAATTGAGAATATTTAACATTTTGTGGTAGCTTTGTCTGTGGATTTCTTTTATGAAACTAGGGAGAATGGTACATCCATATATTCCACAATGCGTGTACTGCGGAATCAAAGTAGGTACTTATGGCAAGTGTGAGTAGGGTATTGTATTAAAAATATTAGTAGCTAGGAAGGTATCACAAATGAAGAATCCAGTGTGTTAAGAACTTAATATTATATATTATGATAAGAGTAAATTATATTCATAAGAGTAGATATCCATCAGTAGGTTCATTGCGAATCAAACTTAATGGAGGCTGTTAAGTTAGAGCAATTAGCGGCGCTGAAAACGGTTTTTTAGATGGGTTTCAGTTTTCACCATAAAAATTTCATTTCTGCACTTAGTTACGTTCGTTGCTTCACAACACAATCGCTATAAAATTTAATTCGCACTATATTATGGTGATGGTGTCATGAGCGATTGTGATCGTGTGACCGGCCAGCTGCTGCAACAGCGCCAGCAGGTGTGGCGGCGGCAGGTGCAGGCACGCTGTCTGTATACCTACATACATGCCTGCACTTGAGCGCGGTGTCGTGCAGCATGTCGGTGGCCAGCTGCTGCAGCAGCGCCAGCAGGTGTGGCGGGGGCAGGTGCAGGCCCGCTGTCTGTATACCTCCATACATGCCTGCACTTGAGCGCGGTGTCGTGCAGCATGTCGGTGGCCAGCTGCTGCAGCAGCGCCAGCAGGTGTGGCGGCGGCAGGTGCAGGCCGGCCCCAGGTGGGGCGGCGCGGCACAGTGCCACCACGCGCGGCAGGTGCCCGGAGCACAGCGCTCGCCAGAACGCTGCCTCCACACCCTCCATACTATTCACACCCTGCACACGGTCCATCGAGTCTGCACACGCCTGCTGCTTCAGCAACGCTGCCTGCATCTGCGATACGTATTAAACGTGGTATAACGTGACGAATGATATGCACGATGGAGCCGTCGTCTGTCTGTTACGCGTTTACGACAAATTTTGGTAAGTTATCGCACTAGTAAAATGTGCAGGAGTTGAAATAGGTTGAAAAATGGATGGAAGTTTGTATGGGAAAGTACTTATTGAACTCACGCTCAAGGCAATATAGTTAAGCGATTGTGTATACGAACTATTATTTTTTATTAATTTCTTTCAAAGAGAGATCGTAAAAGAAGCAGTTGCACATATATTAGTACAAGCCTTAGTTCATTAAAATTTTGTATAAGACGTTTGTTACCTGAATTAAATAAATAAAATGAGCTACGTAAAATATTACCAGTTGGTCGACTATAGAATGCTCAGGGTCAGAGGGTTGAGACGAACTGCCTGGGCTGTAGACCTCCTGGTAATCGCTAGAGGGCGTGGGAGACGCCGGAATTCCAGATTCGTATTCTGAAGAGATCTCTGCTGTTATGGACTCCAAAATCTTCTGCCGCCACTGTTTCATTTCACTATCGAGTATTCTGCGGAAGAAAACAAGAAAATCGGGATAATTTGGGTGATAAACTTTTTGTTTTGGAAAGCACGTTAAGCCGTTGGTCCCTGTTGCGTTTGCTGTCGTTAGCATCCACCAACCAGCACTCGGTGAATGGACTTGGCGCGTCCTCTTTATTTTACTAAGATCGGCACTCTTTTGCCGCTTCAGCTGTCCTTGCGACTGAATTCCACCTAAAATTAACGTCAGGTAGAGTGCGGTGGCATGGTTGATTCCGAACAGGTAGCCCACGTCGTCGTCACCAGCAACGAGAAGGCACATCCCGGAATTTTAGTGAGTAGGGGCCCCCATCCCGTGCAGCCATTGAGTCAGCCTTAGGCATTGTCCTAATACAACGCGATAACGCGATCATCGCGCGTTTAAACGATGCGATCATCGCGCGTTTAAACGATGCGATCATCGCGTGATCGCGAACTGGGTGTCCTAATAGAACGCGAATAAGGAACGGGTTAGCCCTGCCCCTCTCCCCGCTTAATATCGACGCGACGCGATCATCGCGCGAACTTAAGTTAGGACAGACAACTAATAGCATGCACTTGAATACAGATAAATGTTGTCATGTTAAATTCACTCGAAAACGTAAAATTACCCACTCTTATTATCATATTGACAACATTTTGCTGCAGGAAAAGAGTTCAGTTCGTGATTTGGGTGTAACTTTTGACTCGAAGCTCCGTTTTAGTGAACATATCGATAATATATGTCGGTCGGCACTTAGAATGATGGGATTTGTTCTCCGCAACGCCAAAATCTTTAAAAGACAACACACTAAGAAACTTCTTTTTAACTCGCTGGTTAGAAGCAAGCTTGAGTATTGTTCTATGATCTGGAGCCCAAATTATCAAATTCACAAAGATCGTATAGAGGCAATCCAAAGAAGATTTACGCGTCTAATTCTGCATGGTAGATATAGAACGGCTCCGTACAGGGAACGCCTAAATACTCTCAATATGGTGACGCTGGCTGATCGTCGTTCGACACTTGATATAACTTTCTTGTGTAAGATTTTGAATGGTATATTTGATGATCCTATGCTCCTCAGTAAGTTTCGCTTTAGGATACCATCGCGGTTGCCACGTTATCCGGCATCACTCTTGACACACAAAACGTACCGTAGCAATTTGGGTCACCATTCACTCATCCCTAGGTTAAGTAGATTAATTGGTGAGCTTGTGAAGAAGGATCATACTATTGATATTTTTCATGATAAAATACCAACTCTAAAAAATAAAATATTTAGAATACTGGGAAAGTAGATACTTAACTGTTTAATATTATTGTTAATAAAATTAGTTTGCCAATAATGGGTCTGATACGTAAGGGGTTCTCTGAACTTACGACCATATTAGGCAGTGTTCTCTCCTTTTAAATAATTATAGAGCATGATAGACTGTCGTGATTGTTCTGTGATTGGGCAAATATTTGTGTTGTGTAGTAAATTCCGTATGTAGAATATGTAAAAAGAAAAACTGTTTACTGTTTAGCGCATGATGAGGCCATCTTTAAGTACAGTTATATTATATCCTAATACGTAAGCTTAAGTGTAAGTTTGTTTGTATTAATATAGCTGTGTTGATGGTCCATAAATAAATAAATAAATAAAGGACAGCTATTCATCATTAATAGGTTTGATTGCGCGTTCACGCGAATAGATTTTTAAACATTTTAGTCGCGCGAATGTATCGCGCGATCGTTATTAGGACACCTATTCTAGAACGATATGTTTGATCGTCGACTCGTACGATGATCGCATCGTTCATTCGCGTTATCGCGTTGTATTAGAACAATGCCCCAGAGTTGGCTGAATGTGTCCCACATAACCTCGTCACCTTATTCAGCGGCTGGGTACGCGTAACGCACTTCTCCATTTAAAAAAAATTGGAGTGGAGTAATTTTTTGAGCTTTATATATTAAAGAAAAATTGAATCATCTATTGTGACTCTACTAACTTATTTTAATTACCAACTTACGTAATAACAAAGGACTACTCCCCAGTGTAATAGGGTATTTGACAAGTTTTAGAGTCCATAAAAGTGGATATTCATCATTATGTTATGTATTTCGGTAAAAAAAAAATCAAAAGCTCTATTTTCAAGTTGCCGCGAAAACGTATCTCTGGACAATAATATGGCGTCTCACTGGTGTGTGACGTCACACGACTGTCATTAAAACGTCAAACTATACAATCTAATGTCACTTTAACCGGAAGTTTACTTGCGTGTGACGTCATTTTAGGCTCCACTAATCCCAAGCGTTTTGGGTCATGTGACAAGAGACAAGAAAACTATTATCTTTATCGTGGGTTTAGTAAAATTATGAATATTTTTTCTGTAAAAATAGTAAAAACTCCTGTTAATATTCATTCTAAATACAGATGCTAACAATTGACACAACAATATACAGTTCCTACTCTTTCTCCATAAAAGACAAAAAGACAAGAGACTTCGACACACCTTTGCACAGTATGTTTCAAGGAATCTACCGTCTGTTGGTTGTGAGGCGCGTTTTCTAGCACGCGCTGGTGCCGCTCAAGTGCGCGCCGCAGCTGGCGGGCCGCGCGCTGCATGCGCCGCGACGCCTGCGACGACTGCTCCTCCACTGACCACGGGTATTGTATCAACAGGAATAATAATAAATAATTTTATTTTTATTTTTTAATCTTTAACTGCTAGATGTTCAAATTATAAGAAAATTTTACTAGAAAAAACGAACGAGTCTTAGGGTAGCCTCATATTATGTGTAACATTCGACATCTCAGCTTAGTAAAAAAAACGAGCGAGCCTTACAGTAGTCGCATATGATGTGTAACATTGGAAATCTCACCTTATATTAGTAAAAAAAGAAATGACACATAGAAAAGGATTAAGCCATTTCAACAATAACTTCTAAAATCAAATCAAATCAAATAGCGCGCGCTTTCTCAACTTCCTGTTACACATTACTGTCCCATTTCACGAAATCACTTCAAGAAAGCTAGAGGAAAGATGTTAAAAACCACGCGGAAATAGAAATATGTTGGTTGATACCTACTTTTTAACTATAATTGGAAGCATGGTTAAGAGTTAGCACGCTGAAGTGGCAATGGGCAGGCCACATCGCTCGAGGATCTGACAACCGTTGGGTAAGAAAGGTCCTCGAGTGGCGACCACGTACCGGACGACGCAGCGTGGGGCGGCCCCCAACAAGGTGGACTGACGACATCGTCAAATGTGCTGGGAGCCGCTGAATGCGGATAGCGCAAGACCGCGCATTGTGGCGTTCTATGGGGGAGGCCTATGTCCAGCAGTGGACGGAGAAAGGCTGATGGATGGATGAATGGATGGATGATTGGGGCACTTACATTCCATGAAGGCGTCGTCAATAGCCCTCGCCGCGTGGTGCGCCAGCCGCCGGTGCGCGCGCTGCAGCGCCGGCACGTAGAGCGCGGCCACGTCACGCGACACGCACGCGCGCACCGCCTCGCGCGCCGCCGCCGCCGTCGCCCCAACCACGCGCTCCACCACCTCCTGCACGCGTGCTACTTTTAGGCGCTTTGCTGACGGCGGGGCGGAGCGGGCCGGTCAATTTCGCCGCGAACGATAGCACAAAGTGAATCCTATACTACAAACGCACACAGAGGGCAAAAAGACCGCGCCACAGGTGCCCGGCCGGCATTGGCGGCGCGGCATGTCCGCGGCTACCCGCCGTGGATCATACAAACCAGATTATATGCAGTAACGCAGACGGCGGCGCGGGGCGGCTAGCTCTGTCCGCGCCACGCGCTTTTTAGTGATGGACTATTCACTAGAACGAAAGTTCTGAACTGACTGCCTCTGCCCGTCGTGTGCTTTGTGTACGCGGCGAGGGCAGCCGCAGACATCGACGGCAGACGCGGTATTTATTGCTTCGCGGACAAAAAGCCCGCTCCGCCCCGTCGTCTGCAAAGCGCCTTACAGGTCGCCGCACGCACGTACCTAACTCTAGCGCTGAACAAAACGCGGAGAGGATAGTTGCGCGCGGCACGACTGAAAAACCAATCGGCGCAACGCACCTTGCAACTTCTGTTTCCTCCCAACACATAATTTTTACATCTACGAAATAATGGTCAGCGCTAGAGTTTCGTGCCGCGACTTATACTGATGTTGTTTAAACGTTTAACGCGAGCCACTACAGCGCCGGCAAGACCAGAAGCACTGTTGCTCTCATGTCTCCTGATTCTTAAGGCAATACGGGCTAACGACCAAATATAATTGCGGCATTAGGGAGATCTCCTCTCATGACCGTAGCCAGATTGTACGGTTAAAACCGCACATACGCTTTACATATAGATCAGCGCGATTTTCAAAAAAATTTGTGATAATTGTTTTATAACATTGCATATTATTTAACTGACAACGAAACAGATAAGCTTCCAATTTGTATACTGTATTTATATGTCTATATCTTTATTTTACGTAGACCATAGTTTTAATCATCAACTAATTAGTGTGCTATAACTACAACTAACTACAAACAACTCTCTTAGTATGGGCCAACTAAAACCCATGTAAAGTGGACCTTTGAGAACAAAATTGGTAAGTATTGGGTTCTCGTGTGGTAGCGAATCGGCTTGGCGGGCCTGCCACAAGCGGCAATCACCTGTTAAGTTGAGAAAGATATAGTATAGGGGATTAAGTGCACCGGTTAGTTACTAGCGGCCGCTTCCCTTTAAGGACATTGGGAATATGCCCCGCTCCCCTAGCTATGACCCACTCCTATTCTTTTTCTTTCTCTTGCTTTTAGTAAATATATCCCGTTGTTCCGAATTCCAACACTAATTTGCTGGAGGCGCTTAATCGAATAAAGACAAAAACGTTCTCAAGAAGGCTAGAAACTGAGGTGGTGACTAAGGCCCGTATTACAGAATGACAACTAAGTGCTGATCTTTACTTGAGTACAGTTAGAAAGGGATGTCGCTATGTGCTATATAAAGCGACATCCCTTTCTAACTATGCTCAAGACTAGATCAATCACCGTGAATCTTACTATAATACGGGCCTAAGTAAGGCAAGATAAAAGAGATCAGTAGTTGTAAAGGCTTACATCGCTTTGCAAGAAGCGTGTGAGCGCGTCCCTCGTTTCCTTGGGTGCGTGCGCGTGCAGCGCCATCGTCGGTTTGATCTCGATGGCGTCCAGAAGCGTGCGCGCGCGGCTGTTCGAGTGATCGTCTTCATAGTCGTCGCCTTTCATATTCCACTCTTTAGCCCTACGACACGAGAAACACGGGTTTTGAGATGCTGAACATTTTCAGATATACATATTTAAAATTAAACTGAGATAAAATATGCAATATATTATACAGACTTACAACAACATACACACTCATAATATGAGTAAAATTAATAATTAATACTAAAAACAATTTCACATCATAAAACTATAAAATACACTAACTATAAACATATAAGTCTCTATATAAGTAAAATATAAATACTAGAACAATAAATCTAAAAACCTTAAAACATAAAATTAATAACTAAAATATATTATTAAAAGGAGTCCCTTTAGGCAAGGAACCGAATATACTGGCAGCGTTACCTCTTTGAATGGCTAGACTAATTCTTTGTCCGAGGTAGCTGCCAGCTCTTCGGTCTCCTGTGACGACGACTAACCAAATAATATAACCATATTTAAAGATATACCCATCTTTAAATTTTCTAAAGTACAAGCAATAAAGGGTCCTGAATTAATTAATTGAACTATGGGTAAAATTATAAGTACCAACTTACGGATTTGTGATAATATTGTCGGTCACCTGAGCACACATCTGACTGTAAATGTTATCAGATTTCTCGATGACGGCCCTCGAGTTCTGGATCTCGCCTTTTATCGCAGAAAGTATCCGGCATTGTTCCAGGAACAGATCTACATACATCGAAAATATGTTTGAGGATAAAGTAACTACGCTAATAATTATGCTTTGATTAACAACAATTTCAATATCAACAAATCATCGTCTCATTATAGTATTTCCATACTGGACTAGGAGTGAATAAAATGCAGAATCCGGTAGTATATATTTTATATATCATAGTAGTGTATATTTTTTTTATACCATCAGAAATTAGAGATTTCAACAAACAAAAAACACCCAACTTTTTTAAAAAAGCAGATATTTTGACGTGAGAATTTTCGATTGAAAATTAGGGTGCTTTTTGGATATTAAGTCAAAATAAGGTGAAAAAATGAATATTTTAAATCAAAAAAATTACTGTATGTTTGGGACATACAAAGGTAAGTTTTCACCAAATTTCGTGAAAAAATAATTCTTTTTGCAAAAATAAAAATCAAAAACCAAAAACTCGGTTATTCGCATTTTTCACATAAATTTTGAGGTTATGTGAAAAAAGTGTCGATACAAAAGTTGTAGATCTTTTTATTACCTACAACTTTGCCATTTAACTATTTCATAGGACTTGCAGTTTTACCGGAAATCGAGATTAACCATTTTTACCCTTAAAAACTCACCCCCTCCCCCTTCCCGACCTCAGATCGCCCGTAATTTATTTTTCCTTTCATTTTTGTTATATTCTCTACCTTTTCTAATGGGTTTCATCCTACTATATTTTTTTTTCACTTTTCACCATTTTTAAAATTATCGACCCTGGTCTAAGAGTAAAAAATAAAGCTACGGAGAAAACGGACATCTGTGATGTGACATTTGTCCGAAACACAACAAAACCTTATAAAATTCATGTTAAATGTGTTTGTAAGAGTGTAAGCGGACTTTTGCTTCATCATCAGCCTATTCATGTCCCCACTGCTGGGGCACAGGCCTTCCCTATGGATGCAATAGGGAGATAGGGCCATGACCTACCACGCGGACCCAGTGCTAAATTTGGAATAATAATGTTATTTTTTTTGGCAGTGATGTGTCTCTGTTGGTGACTTGTTAAGGTTTTTAGAATCCCACGGGATAAAGATTGGGTCAGTCACAAGGGCGGATCCAGGGGGGGGGGGGGGGGGGGTCATGGGGGTCATGACCCCCCCCCCCCTGGGCTGGGTACAGATGGTTGACCCAGGGGGATTTTATTTAAGAACTTTCAATATTTAATATACCACGACTATATGACCCCCCCCTGGCGCCAAAGCTGGCTATATGACCCCCCCCTGGCGCCAAAGCTGGCTATATGACCCCCCCCCCCCCATTTCATTACTTTTTAGAGATAAACAAGCAGCTCCATTGAGACTTGGCTAGTTTTTTACAGAATGTTTTTGGTGGGATAACATTTACTGAGAATGTTATTTTATCGTCCCTCCCCCCCTGATAAGAAACACTCCACGTGGTCTCTCAATCGTTCCCGGTTGCACAAAGGTTAAAAAACTATAGTTGATGTTTTGCTAACTCCGCAAAGGAGGTCAATGTAAAGATATATTGTCTTAAACTCACCGCTCAGTCGATCCATTTTCTGTTCCAGATGTGACAGCTGTTCTACCACGTCAATAGAGCACGTATGCTCATTAATAACCTCATGTCCTTCGAGGGATGTTTCTGAATCAGTGCGGTGGATCGCGTACGCTTCCATTGAAGATTCGCTCACGCTGACTGTGCGGCTGCGCTTGTCCGTGAATACATTATTACTGACAGCCTTTTTCGTAATCACTTCCTCATTTAGGGAACACAATGATTTAGCACGCCGCGGCGATGACTTTTCATCACACAAACAACGGGAGTTCATGATTTTAATAGTCTACACAAAGGTACTAAAAATATCTACAGCAATTTGAAATAAATCTTGTGAATGGCATTTTTTTCAAATTACCCTCATCTTTTTTAATTGTTGAGGTTGTAAAATACGAGGACACGCTCTGGGAGTGACAACACCTCTATTGCGTTGCATTTAAAACGATATTCGTAGAGCAAGTTTCCAATCAAGGTCTCGAGTGTATGCTACTTAACAGTGTCAGGTGGTATCAAAATATATACTTATGTAGCATTTAAAAAAACATATTTTCATGCAAAATCCAGGCCAAGTGCAATGTATGTTTCGTAGTTGTCAGTAGGTAGGTATTGGGAATTCTAATTCACTTTTATCTCTATATCACAAAACCAAAAAAGTGAATTAAAATCCCCCAATCACAAGCGATTGGAGGCTTCTAATTCACCTTTTTTGGTTTCGCGATATAGAGATAATAGTTATTTATTATACAAGAGTGGAAAGTTCCTTTTTAACCGCGTGCTCGATTTGGATGACCGAGCAAGCGAAGGATTCTAAAGTTGAATCACGAGCGCAGCGAGTGATTCTAAATTAGAATCCTGAGCGTCAGCGAGGGAAACAAACGAGCACAAGGTGAAAAATCTTTCCACTCGAGTGCAATACGTAACTTTTCATCCCACCTCAGCGAGGAAATGACAAAATGAAAAAGAAAACAATTTATAATGACAAAATATTTTTATTTCAATTAAAACACATTAAGATAATCTATAAATTGAAGAAAATAATAAGAAGTAGAAAATAATTAAGAAATATTAAATGTAACGTTGCTACAGTTACTTATGTTAAGTTTAATATTTTTGTTAGGTAATGTTATGTTGGTGTTTGTGAATTGTGCGCTGTTTTGTGGTAAACTACTCGTATCAGTAATTTTAAATAGTTGTGCCGATTCATTGGATTCTATTGGCGTAAATGTTGGCGAGAGAGGGCTATTGTTTCCAATCTTATGGGGGCTCATTTTAGATGTAGAAGGGCGAGACCAAGAATCTGACAGAGGTTCTTTCAGCGTTATGGCCTCCACGATACTATTACAAATTTTTGATTTGCTTTGGATTGAATCCTCTATGTATCCCTCTACAACCGAATTAGACTTCCAGCCTCCATGGCGCTTAAGCGATAGAAGATCAGCCCCTGATTCGGCCAAAAGTGTGGCTGAGGTTCTTCTAAAACAGTGACCGGTGTATAACGGGGGTTCTAAAAGTCCGAGAAAAGTTGCTATTTCTCGTGGAATACTGCCAATTTTATTCTGACCCATAGGTTGTCGGATACACTTTCCGTTGCGATATTGTAGAAAAAATCGTTCAATTGGGGTGTTAGAAGGACGTAAAGCTTGATATTTCTGAACAATGTTTACATATTCCTTGCGAATAACGAAGTTGCGGTCTTTTTTTGTCTTGGTATTTAGTACATTAATTAATAGCAATTCATCAGAATTATGAGAATATTTTGATACGTTATTGACATTAAGTAGTGTAAGTTCATTTGTTCGACATGCTCCGGTTATACCAATAATAAGAACAACCTGTAACAAAAGAAGTATTTATAATCGTAAATAAATTAATCAAATTAAAAATATTGTAAGTACTATGTACAATTTTATCAACAACAAAAAATTACACGTATTGACTTACTTTTGCCGCTAAATATACGGAATCAGGTGCTTCATTAATAAACTTTGCAATTTCAGATGCTGTGAAAACCTTCGATTTTTTTGGTTTATAACCAGATGAGGCTCTTTTTAAAAATGCCACTAATTTATGATAGGTGTCGATATGAACGTCTTTCTTCATCTTAATTGTTAATTTTAGCATTGAATACGTACTCCATAGCGTGCTTGCTTTCTTGGTCTCAGATAATTCTATAAAATATGCCAGCAAAACGTTTTCGGAGAAAGTTTTTGCTCCTTTAGCTAGTCGCCACATGTTAAATATATCGTACTGTTTCAAATACTTCTCTCGTGATTGCTGAGGGAGAAGGCTCATTTGCGCATTATTAACTGTTTCAGTTAACTCAGTTGGCGTTAGATAAACTTCATCGTCGCTAATGTCACTCATTTTAGTTGATTTTTTTGTACAGTTTTTAGGTTATGTTAATTATATTAAGCAATAAAACGTGAAAAACTAGAATGGCGCGAAGCACGCAAATAAAACAAAGAAACCAAGAAGGTTCCAAATTTAAATTTTTTCACAATTTAAAAAGTTCTAATCATAAATTTGGCACCATAGAGGTTACATTAAATAGGTTTAATGACGTTTTGAATTTACAATTATATTGAGTACTCATTATATGTGATGTTCTAAATTCAAATCTACTTTGCCGCTCAAGCGAATAAAATAGAATTTTCCAGCCAGATTTCGAAGCGCAAAATTACACTTTCCGAGGTGGTGGGATGAAAAAGTTAATTAAAATCCCCAATAACCAACCAGGTACCGTGGCATTCTGAGTTACCCCACGAGTGAGGTCGCGACTAAACAACGTCTTAAATATGAATAATATCTAAAATAGGAATATAAATAGGTGCAATTAGATTTTAATATACTTAATCAGTTGCTATATGACTATTTATTAAAACAATCACTCGGAATAACGGGGACGATAATTTATTTACGATAATTTATAATTTATGATTAGAACTTTTTAAATTGTGAAAAAATTTAAATTTGGAACCTTCTTGGTTTCTTTGTTTTATTTGCGTGCTTCGCGCCATTCTAGTTTTTCACGTTTTATTGCTTAATATAATTAACATAACCTAAAAACTGTACAAAAAAATCAACTAAAATGAGTGACATTAGCGACGATGAAGTTTATCTAACGCCAACTGAGTTAACTGAAACAGTTAATAATGCGCAAATGAGCCTTCTCCCTCAGCAATCACGAGAGAAGTATTTGAAACAGTACGATATATTTAACATGTGGCGACTAGCTAAAGGAGCAAAAACTTTCTCCGAAAACGTTTTGCTGGCATATTTTATAGAATTATCTGAGACCAAGAAAGCAAGCACGCTATGGAGTACGTATTCAATGCTAAAATTAACAATTAAGATGAAGAAAGACGTTCATATCGACACCTATCATAAATTAGTGGCATTTTTAAAAAGAGCCTCATCTGGTTATAAACCAAAAAAATCGAAGGTTTTCACAGCATCTGAAATTGCAAAGTTTATTAATGAAGCACCTGATTCCGTATATTTAGCGGCAAAAGTAAGTCAATACGTGTAATTTTTTGTTGTTGATAAAATTGTACATAGTACTTACAATATTTTTAATTTGATTAATTTATTTACGATTATAAATACTTCTTTTGTTACAGGTTGTTCTTATTATTGGTATAACCGGAGCATGTCGAACAAATGAACTTACACTACTTAATGTCAATAACGTATCAAAATATTCTCATAATTCTGATGAATTGCTATTAATTAATGTACTAAATACCAAGACAAAAAAAGACCGCAACTTCGTTATTCGCAAGGAATATGTAAACATTGTTCAGAAATATCAAGCTTTACGTCCTTCTAACACCCCAATTGAACGATTTTTTCTACAATATCGCAACGGAAAGTGTATCCGACAACCTATGGGTCAGAATAAAATTGGCAGTATTCCACGAGAAATAGCAACTTTTCTCGGACTTTTAGAACCCCCGTTATACACCGGTCACTGTTTTAGAAGAACCTCAGCCACACTTTTGGCCGAATCAGGGGCTGATCTTCTATCGCTTAAGCGCCATGGAGGCTGGAAGTCTAATTCGGTTGTAGAGGGATACATAGAGGATTCAATCCAAAGTAAATCAAAAATTTGTAATAGTATCGTGGAGGCCATAACGCTGAAAGAACCTCTGTCAGATTCTTGGTCTCGCCCTTCTACATCTAAAATGAGCCCCCATAAGATTGGAAACAATAGCCCTCTCTCGCCAACATTTACGCCAATAGAATCCAATGAATCGGCACAACTATTTAAAATTACTGATACGAGTAGTTTACCACAAAACAGCGCACAATTCACAAACACCAACATAACATTACCTAACAAAAATATTAAACTTAACATAAGTAACTGTAGCAACGTTACATTTAATATTTCTTAATTATTTTCTACTTCTTATTATTTTCTTCAATTTATAGATTATCTTAATGTGTTTTAATTGAAATAAAAATATTTTGTCATTATAAATTGTTTTCTTTTTCATTTTGTCATTTCCTCGCTGAGGTGGGATGAAAAGTTACGTATTGCACTCGAGTGGAAAGATTTTTCACCTTGTGCTCGTTTGTTTCCCTCGCTGACGTTCAGGATTCTAATTTAGAATCACTCGCTGCGCTCGTGATTCAACTTTAGAATCCTTCGCTTGCTCGGTCATCCAAATCGAGCACGCGGTTAAAAAGGAACTTTCCACTCTTGTATAATAAATAACTATTGTGCAATTTTCGCAATGCAAATTAATAATTGCTGAATATTAGAAAAAAAACCACAGTGTTAACAAACCTTTTTTAAATCATAGCATTCAGTGATGTTTACTTAACTTTATTATTATATTTTACTTACGTCTGTTATTAATTTTCAACAAAAATGTTGACCATTCCATTTGCTTATCATGCAATATTTTGAAATAAATTGAGGTTTTCCAATCAATACACCTTTATTACAACTTCAGCACGGCTCCGTTGTGACCATCACCTAGTGTTTTAATTGTTAATACCACGAAGATTCATTGCGTTGAAATCATGTTCGTAAGTTTTTTAAATACATTATTTTATTTGTCTGTTTATTGTATTTGTTAATTTACAGTGTAACTCTTTTGTTCTCATGTCGGATATTGAATATTATAACTCCAAGCCTGCCGCTAAGTCACAATTTAACATCAAAAAGAACATTGATTTTGAAGACGAGGAAATTAACAAACGGTATGATGTCTCTTGTGTAGTGGTTACTCTTAGATAACGTTTACATAATTTAATAAGTTAGAAAATCTTCTTAACTTTACTCTTTGATATGTTTTATATTATAAATCCATGACTTTCACTTATAATTATCCCACTAATAGAACATGTTTTTGATAAGTGCTTTGTATTTTTTGTGTACTACAGACCAGACCAGCGACCACGAAAAACAAACAAGAGATTGGTGTACGAGTCTGGCGAAGAAGGCTTGAATAAACAGTAAGTTTCGTGATTTAATGAACCTTTCTAACAGTGT